TCATTACCAGCCTCTGTGGACTAATGTTATTGTTCTTTACTAGAAGATATTGAGCCCCTGGCAATTGATCAGACCGTGGAGACGGTGGGAGGTAGGCGATTCCTGGTTGATTTGCGGGAATTCTGCGGGAATTGGAAATTGACACTGCCTTTCATGAAGGACATGTTCCAGTTAGTGCGGCCCGACCATCCAGAGCTACCCAAAGACCCAAGGACGTTGTTAAAACGCCTAGAACTTATACTAGAAAGGCCATGGCGTAAGTAGCTTATGTTCATTTGGGCTTTGAATGTGGTCTGCTGAATAAACTGTTGAATTGCCGTGCAACGAGCATTGCCGAAATGCGTGTTCAACTGCACATTGACGGGATGAATATTTTTAACGGCTCCGCTCAGTGCCTGTGGCCAATCCTTGCGCGGGTTAGACACCCGTTTGTTGGTTAGCCCTTCGTTATTACGAGCCTAGACTCGTAACGACATAATTAACCAGGGTTTCAGGAATATAATTATGTAATACTCGTAGGACTGGTCATCTAGCAAAAAAATATGTAAGAATCTCCCAGAATTCCTAGCACATCGAGCATCACTATTGGCATACATATGGTTTATTTCGTATATTGTATGGGCTCCTGGAGGACCTTCGTACTAATTTTTAAGGTCTTATTCACCTACTTCTACGACATTTCCCCCTTCTTCGTCATCTAAGAAGGCTTCTCATAACTGTCTTTCTACCCAACTTAATTGGCATCACTTTACTATAATGACACTGGCCATCGCTACTTATCCTCAGTTACTGCCAGTGGGTATCAGTATAAAGAATTAGAGACAGTTTAGGATTGTAGGAGACTTGTAAACCAACCCCGCCGGGATAGAAGTGAACGACATGGAGTAATGCATACAGATCACACGGAAAGGCATGCATAAAGATCTCCAGTGAGCTGTAGTGCAGATTTCCTTACCGGCTGATAGCATTTTGGTTGCGGACGTTGACGCATTCATGATGGTTTTTTGGAGATGGGTGTGAGCTTATGTGTGGATTACGTACTGGAGTTCATACATCTTCTATTATAAGAAATATACACACAGACCAGTGATGCTGGCATAGCTATTATGGTAATTTCTCAGGCCTTTGTTGAGTTATCCCTTTAGACAGACGTCGATTAGCTTGTTGTCGAAATATTTCTGTGCTGTGGAGGTCTCGTTGTCCGCACTAACGCAGACGCCAGCCAACGTACCGTTATTGTTCATATAAGCCTCCCTGCCAGATTACTACTGATAAATTTGGTCTGAAAATACGCAAGTAGATTGACTGGAATCTACCCAATTCGCGTAGACCTATTGTGTTCAAAAACCTTACTGGCAGCAAATGCGTTAAACAAAATCACAGCCTCCTAAGACGAGGGTTGAAGCTGTTAAAGCGATATACTTGGCGTAGTCGAGATTAGTCAACCTGCCTCAATACGGTATTGGTGCGGGAAATAATTAAGGAGACGATAGGGGGTGCACGTATGCGGCTTTTATCCTAACATTTTCGGAGTAAACTCTAATATTTTGCAGTTCAGACGTTGACACCAAAAAGTGCATTCGTTTTCTGCCAAATTTGGATAAGACTAAACTTCCTATTACACCAGAAGATGAAATGGCGAGCATACGTTTGTTTTCGATAATTCTCATCAGGCCTTTATATTATATGTCATCCTATTATACGGCGAAATTCAATGCCTATGATCGCTTTACTGTATTTCCCGTGAAAAGGTCACTGGTGGCGTATATCTAAACACGCGCGCCGTCAATATTTCCTCGTCACTGAAGTCTTTAGTATAGGAAATCAAGGTAGCCAGCGTTCAGTGTGTACTTCGCGGGATGCTGGGCGCAGCGATAGTGCCTCGTGCATCGCCCACGTCCTGACAAAGTCAACTTGAGGGCATAAAGTAAGCGACTCCAAAGAAATGGAGCGGCGTTAGCCTGCGCTGAGACAAGCCAAAATAATAGGGCAATTTGTGTCATTTAGATGAGTGTGAATTCTAGCAAGGCTAGTCCCCTTGTTGCTTGTGCGTATTTACCACATGGCCAGACGTACAGGCAGACATACAATTAGCGTACTTGGTTTTGCTAATACAAACGAACATGCGAGGCCCAGGAAGTAATTAAGAAGTAGAAGATGACTCGATCGCTGGGACAATATGTTTATTCGCCTAACTTTTCGACATCTTCAGAGACATACTCACAGAACAGTAGCAGAAACAGTTTGTATGTGCACAGGGTTCCGCCGGTAAATTTAAACGTACAGAAAAAATCGACAAATGCCCTGAGTGTGTTTTGATTCATTGTTTCAGTCATGACTATCTGACCTTGCGGTGTTGGCATAAGATGATGTTGTGGCCCATCTGTTCTCCGAACGGTGATTTGCTATCGCCAAATTTAGTCTGAGCACCGAATATGGATTGGGCAACTTGCTGCACTTGTTTATGGATTGGGGGCCCTTGAACCATGACTCAATTAGTTCTCGGCTCACTCGTTTATCACCTCTTTCGAGAATTTCGGCCTCATCAAATTTGAACGTGTGGCCGGGTCTCGTCGAATGGGCCGCATTTTGACAATTGGCATCATTTGCCCGCACTGCTACCGCGTGTTCGGCACTTCGTGTCCTGAGAAGTCTGCCAGTTTCTCCGACATCTCCTCGTGTTCGGCAATTCGCGTCTTGAGAATTCTGCCAGTCTCTCCGACATAGTGTCTTTGTCCGCAACTGCACCGGATCCTGTAGTCGACTCCAGATGTTTCTTGGCGTGACAGTGGGTCTTTTGGCTTCATTATCTGAAGGAGACGAAGAACCTTATCCGACACCAGGTATTGTCCCTCCTTATGGCTCATCAACCGCAACAAGTGCTCCCAAAGGTCGAACGCGTTGCATTAAAAGCACTCAAGACTGACCGGGACATCGTCATAGTGCCAGCCGACAAGGGACGTTCTACGGTCATACTGGACAGGACCGAATACCTTCAGAAGGCAAAAAGCTTCGTGGAGGATCGTCAGTTTTATGCTCCTTGTGAAAATAATCCCATCAAAAAGCTGACTCGTGAAAGCAATTCGACCCTGTTGGCACGAGAGAACTCTGGTGCAATAACGCCGTCTGACCGACGCATGGCGAGGGCACAGGAGACGTCCTTGGCCTGCTTCTATGGCCTCCCCAAACTGCACAAGGAGGGCGTTCCTCTCCTGCCTATCGTACCACTGAAAGGCACTCAAATGTACGGACTGGCTAAATGGCTATTTTGGTGCCTCAACTTCCTGACCTCTGATGGAGAGACCGCGGTCCGCTCGTCAACACAATTCTTGGAGAAACTTAAAGGGGTAGGTCTCCTGCCAAGTGATATCATGGTTTCCTTCTATGTCACGTTCATTTTTACTTTTATCCCTCAGGATCTGGCACTCGAGACCGTCGATCTACTCCTACGATGCTCATACGATGAGACGGAGAATCGCCTTGGACCTGCCCAAATCGTACAGCTCCTACAGTTCTGTCTAAGGACGTATTTTACGTTTGACGAAACAATCTACGAGCAGATGAAGGGGACACCAATGGGGTTCACCGATTTCAGGACTCATGGCTGAGGCGGTCCTACAACGGCTGGAAACACTGATCTTCCAACATCACAGACCGAAATTCTGGGCGCGGTATATGGATGACACCTTCGTCGTCATCGAACGGGATCAGGTACTCACGTTCAAGGAACGTCTCAACAGCGTCTTCCCGGACATCCAATTTACGATGGAGGAGGAAGAGAACAACCAACTGGCCTTCCTTGATGTCCTCGTCTGTCGCAAAGATGGTGGTGGCCTAAAAACTAAATTATTCAGGAAAGTGACAAACACGATGCAAATATTGAATTACAACAGCAACCACCCAATCAGCCACAAACGCAGTTGCGTAAGGCCGCTCTATC